TCTCTCTCTCTTTCTTCGTACTTTACTTTTCTTACTTACTTACGTAGGTACGTTCGGTTTAGTTAGGTACGTAACGACCCTACCCTACCTACTACTACTACGTAACTAACTACTCTCTCTCTCTCTCTCTCTCTCTCTCTCTATATATATATATATATATATATATATATATATATGTCCCTGCGGTTTTTTTGTTTTCTTTGAGATTTTTGTTTTAATGGCTGAGCCCCTATGGATCTCATGAAAGAAATTTCATTATTTTCATTTTAATGGCAGCTTTTTTGTTATTGCAAATGGGCTGGCAGCTGGGTACGCTGCGCTGTCGATTCCCTTTGTGTTTATTTTGAATAACCCAAGCGTGGATCCACGGAACCATTTCTTCATGTTCATGTTTGATTTGGTACGTAAATTCATCATTATAATGAATTCTCATAATATATCATGTTTATTTTACTGATACAGGTGTTTCTTGGATTGAATATTAATGCATGATCAAAGGTTTTTTTTTTTAATTACCCATAAAAATAGGCTTGGCTTGTTTTTTTAAGTGTATTAATGCATAAGAAATTTAGTGAGTTTTATAATGGGTTTGCCTCTCTCTCAACTTTTCTTGGGTTATAAGAATCACATGCCTTAATGGATTAATTCTTGCATGAATTTCTTGTTAGGTTCTAAAATAAATAATAAAAGTTTATTTTTCTTGAGTGTTTCTTATGGGAAAGCAGAAAAATGGCGGATTGCAACTTGTTAGAATTTCTTATTCGCTTTTTGGAACTGTAAAAGATGGGGGTTTTGATTCCCCACATGATTATTTTCTAGGTCTTTGAGGGTTGTTATAATAGATGGGGGATTTGTTACTTGAAAGATATTCATGTTGGCTTTTTACCTATATCTTAACGTTAATTTCGTCTAGGGTTTTAGGTATTTTGGAAATGTTAGAAATGGATTTACCAACAAGAACAAAAGATTGTATTTATTACTTGTATGATTTTATTCGTTTATTTTTTGTAGAAGAGGTGACAATCACTTTTAGCCGATAAAAGATGTGTCCAACTATTTGAGAAATTTTGTTATAGATTTTGTGTTTTAATAAAGCCACATCCTCAACCATCCAATTTTAAATTTAACAATTAGTAATGATTGTGGCCTCTTTATATAAAAAATAAATTGTTTCATTATTAAAAAAACATACATTGTTTATTTTCTTGCGGCTTTTGATATAAGGGAAAGGCTTCTATACTTCCCCTACAATGTAGAATAACCATCCAGCCGTCCAATTTTGATCAAGAGAGCCACACACTATCTGATCTTAGATCCAACGTCTCAAAGTATTTTATTTTTTAGTTTTTTTTTATACAAATTGTTTGAATATGTAATTTGGTACGTGCTATCTTCTCATTGGGGCGCACCTATAAAAAATATTAAAAATAAATTTTCGATAAAATATAATAACCAAAATACCCCTTGAAGCTTTCAGGCATATTTTGGTCATTTTATTTTATTGAAAAAATATATATATATATTTATATTTTTCACTAGTGCGAGTTTAATAGAGTATTGGAGGTCCAAATTTTGGTGTCAAATAGTTTATAGAAAAAAATTAAAAAATTAAATAGTGTAGAGACGTGACATTGTAATTGCGGCAATCTTAGCCCTCCATTCAGAATGGACGGTTGGATAAGGGAAAGTATATAAGTTTTATGCAGTAAGGGAAACATAAAAAGCTTGCCCTTGAAATAATTCCATATTATTTTCAAATAGGTGAGGTTTGTATAGAGCCAAGGCTCTAAACAATCAAATTAGAGTCCATCTTCAAATAGTGTCAAAAAACGTGGTTTTAATACTGAAAATCTTTGACTAGCCTTCAAATAGATTTTATATTATAAAATTTAAAGCTTAAAAAATAGAGTATATCGAGTAGATTTATAAAAACTTGAATAACTTAAAAATTGACGGTTCAAAAATGCATTACAAGATGCACTATTTCCAAAACTTGAAATCCATTTTTTTTTCTCAAGTCCATGCATCTTGATGTCGAGATGATCAATTTGAGGATATTTATGCATCAAAGCCACATCTTCTAGTAAAATATTTGAGGTAGGCTCTAATTTGATTGTTTAGAGCCTAGGCTCTATATAAACTTTTCCCTTTTCAAATTAGGTTTTCCTATTCGAAAGAGAGACTGTTTGAGTAAGAGTGGTCCCTCTCACACACGTTAATATTGGCCTCTCTCACACACATTAATATTGGCAAACTTGGCTGGTCCAACTCGGAACTGGAACCGGGCATTTGCCAATTCGGTTTTGGCCAATTTTAGTGGTCTGGCTGGGTATTTAAAAAAAATTAAAAAAATGTATATAAAATTTCAAAAAAATAAGGGATTTGTTTTTAATGTATTTTTTGAATTTTTTAAATATTGAAAAGTATTTTGGTCATAAATGTTTATTTTTATATTTTTTTATTTTATAATTTTTTCAAAAATACCTTTGAACACAAATTGATTTTTTGAAATCCATTTTTTCACTAGGTGTACTCTATTTAATCATTTTTTAAATATATTATTAATTTTTTTTCGATTTTTTAAACACTTTTTAGACTGATGGAGCCTTGCTCAGTTTGGCTGGTTGAACGTGCCGGTTTACCGGTTGCTCGAACCTTACGCTTGGCCGGTTTCCGAGGGCGGTTCAATTTTTCGAAGACTGGTGGAGACAATTCATTCACTCTCGTTGATATTGGCTTAGTGTAAAAAGTGGTCTCTGATTGAAAATTGGGTTTTTGCAGATAATGGTGTGTGTGGTGATCTCGGGTTCATCGGCTGCAACAGCTGTAGGGTACATTGGTCGATATGGAAACGACCACTCGGGTTGGGGGGCCATTTGTGACCACTTCACTACCTTTTGCAATCAGGTCAATTTGGCCCTCATCTTTTCATACACTGCTTTCCTCGTCTTCATTCTCCTCACCATTCTCTACACCAATAGAATGAGGGCTTCCAATTAATGCTAAGAACCCCGCCCCTAATTACTTCATTTATGCTTTTTCATCGGCAAACAGCTTGCTATCATGTACAAATTCCGAAATTTCGTTAAAATAACGTAGAAATAAGATGGTTTCACCCATGTACTTGATGGGCAGATGGGTGTGTGTAGCAGCAGCAGCAGCAGCATGGTTTTAGTGTAAAATACTATATTTATTTGCAGACAATCCCTTTCAAAAATGGGTGAGGTTTGTATAAGTGTCAACTTTATACTATTGAAATAAGGTACACCAGACAACTTTGCAAAATGTTGTACGATGATATGAAAATCTATTGTTGTTCTTGATTATGAAATTTAAAATTTTAGAAATGGTGATGATCATGCAGATTTATTCACATTTTAAAAACTTGAAAATGGACGGTCCAAATAATATGTTAGAAAATAAATTATGTTTATCCCCTTTTTTTTTATGTCCATGAATCTTGTCGTCGAGGTGATCGATTTGAGGGTTTTTCAATATAAGAATAACCTTCTCTAGTGGATTTTTTAAGGTGCCACTTTACCCGATACCTTTTATAAGCTTTATCATTCAAAACATTTTGACGAAATTTCAGCACCGTTTTGGCTACGAAATCCAATGCTTTTTTTGGAAAAGGATTTTGGAAGTAGAGCGAGGTCTATATAGGGTGTGGTCTCTAACAGGTTGAGGCCCGAAACACTCAAAGTACGGCGCACCCCTAAATAGAGTAAAAAGATGAGTTTTTGAGTAACAAAAATCTTTATGATAGCCTGAAGATATATTTTCATATCTAATAATAAAATGTAAAGTTTTACAAATAGTGTAGATCAGGCAGATCTATAAAAACTAAAAAATATTGAAAATTAACGGCCTAGATAATGTATTACAAGATGTACTATTTCTCAGACTTGAATCTATTTATTTTTTATGTCTATATATTTCAGGGTCAAGATGATTGATTTGAGGGTTTTTGACATCAAAACAACCTCTTCTAATAAAATTTTGAGGTGAGCTTTAATTGATTGTTTAAGGCCTCAGCCTTATATAATTGAGTAAGGCTTTTATAAAATAACCGCCGTATACTATACAAATAAGACGTGTATATATATGTAAATTTTGCTGGAGGATCTAGTTCTAGAGCCTTCAACTGCACTATATTAAATTTTGCTGGATGATCTAGTTCTAGAGCCTTCAATTGAACTATATTTCTACATTATAAGTTTGCAACCTTGCACGAACTTTTTCCTTAAAAAATAATATGGAGTTGCAACTTGTTTAACTCGAAATTTTGGACGAAATTTCGGTGGAGTGTCGTCTTCGATTATGGTGTCCAACGTGGCGTTGGGATTTTGGATTTATGTTTGAGGACGCATGTTCAATTAATTAAATTTTGGTTGCCATTTGCTATAATTGGAAGCTTATTTTTGGGAAATGTTGACAAGTTGGTTGTGGATTTTCCTCATCAGCCTTAAACACCATAGATGGGACAAGTTCGCACTTCCTAATTTTTGTAGAAAGGGGAGTTCTCACTACCTTCTTAACTTTGACGCTGTTGGATGGAAAATGGAGAGGGAGAGAGAGTCTTGCTGGAATTTAAAGACTGACGTCCAACTAGCGGTGGCAATGGATCCGACTAGAATCGAGACACAATAGGTGTACTTGGCCTCGGGTACGGAACTAAAATTTGGACTCGAATATTATCCGCGTCTAGATCCAGCTGGACCGAATCCATATCTGTAGTTATAGGATATATGATGACAATCAAGTGTCTTTAGATGCACGTTAGGTGTTCATTTTGTTATAATATTGGCAATATTTATAGTATTATTGGCCAAAAAAAAAGAGGCCCATATTCATAAAGTATATGTTGATAAAAAAAAATAAGACAAATTCAGATATGGGTTAAAATTTTGGACCTGATTGTTTATTCAGATCGGATCTAGATCTACCCAAATCCTATCTGTACCCATCCCGATGCCACCCCTAAAAGAGAGACTTGTCTTGTTGGAACTAGATAGAGACAGAGATTTGCTTGAAGTTGGGAAGTCAATTCCTTATGGTTTGAGTATTGTGTGGGGTGAGTTATTGGGCTGTCGTGCACAAGGGAAACGGGAGACTAAGTGTGAGAGGAACTGAAAAACGTGAAGGGTAGCAGGTATAGTTGACACAACCTTTTCAGATAGATTTTTGATGTACGTCTTACTTTGATAGTATAAATTGACTCTTTATACAAACTTTTGCTTATTCAAATACATATTTTCATAGATTTTCTACCAAATACTGTGAAGACTTATGTTGATCATCAATAAGGATTTTATTCAATAGAAAAAGATCATATAAGGGCAAGGCTCTAAACAATCAAATTAATGTGCACTTCAAAAATTCACTAAAAGACATTGTTTCGATGCCAAAAAATCCTCAAATCAATCATCTCGACCTCAAGATATACAGACATGAGAAAAAATGGATTTTGAGTATTGGAAATAGTATATTTTTTGAACTGTCAATTTTCAAGTATTCATAGATCTGCTCAATTTATATTGTTTTTGAAGCTTTAAATGTTATAATTTAAGATAAAAGTAAATTTTCAGGTCATCACAAAATTTTCCAGTATTGAAACATCTTTCGATACTATTTGAAGGTGTGTCTTACTTTGATTGTTTAGGGCTTCAATCTTACACAAACCACACCCTTATTCAATTCAAATATTTTGAATGGAGAGCCCACCTTTCTAAAATACAATGCATTCTTGTTAGGAGTTCTGTTCAAATTGTGATTGATCTTCTGTACGCAAGGGTTCATTAAAAATCTCCAACTCTTCTTCAACTAGGATATTTCCAAGAAATCAACTTCGTACCTCCTTCGATATAAAGTCACTTTTTCATGAAATGGGGGGAATTTTTCACATTTTTGCGTAGTGGCATGCTCTACAAAAAAAAAATTAGTTAGAGATTTTCCACAAACCAAAACTTGTGAAAAACTTAGTCAACGTAAATCCCTTTCTTGAAGAAACATGACCTTTTGTAAAAGGGTGCGGTTTGTATGGAGCCTAGGCTCTAGACAATCAAATTAGTGCCTACTTTCAAATAGTGTCGAGAAACGTAGTTTCAACATTGGAAATCTTTGTGATAACCTTAAAATATATTTAGATCTTTATTTATAAAGTTTAAAGCTTCAAATATAGTGTAGATCAATAGATCCATGAAAATTTGAAAATCTTTAAAATAAATCTTTAAAATAAATCTCCATGATAGCTCTAAAATCAATTTCCAACACAGACAATACAATTTGAAACTAAAAAAAGGGTACAGATCTTATGGATCTTTGTACATTTATTTTTAAGACAAAATAGATGGTCTAGATAATTTGTTACAATATACACTATTTTTAAAGCTTGAAATCCTAAATGTTTTTCACAACCATAGTATTCCAGCTGAGATGATCGATGTAAAGATTTTCTAATACTTGAATTGCAATTTTTGATGAATTATGAGGTGAGGTTTTACTTATTTTGATTGGGCTGCAGCCCACCAAACTCTTTTCCATTAGGATATTTGTGTATAAAGAAAATCGAGGTTTCTTTGGAATCAAGAAAGATGTGAGCAATGCCTTATAACCATACCAAGGTTACACATAATACTCATCCCTCTATGGATCACACTTTGCCCCCACACTTAGGGGTGATGGTAAGGGATCTCCAAGAGGGTTATGTCTCCAAGAGAGAGATAGAAATAACTTTAGAGAGGATTTTCTCATGAAGTTTTGGCCCAATAGTTTGCATTTGTAAGGAGAGAAAGTCTCTTAGTAGCTCTCGAAGTTCTCTTTTAGGTAGCAATGTATGATGGGAAAAGAGGAGGATTGATTGATGTTGTTATTCAGTTGGAAAAGTGGGTTCAGATGGAAAAATCAATGAGGATTTTGTAATGTTCAGAGAGCGGTATATCACTTATAATAAAAAATTCTAATATTCATTATGATAGTGAATTTTATCTTACAGAAGCCACGGATGTAAGCTAGTCGATATGAAATAGGTAAATTGTGTGTCGTTATGGTGTGCTTCTGTGCTTGCTTTATTTCTCTCTTTTTTTGCCATAGTACTTAGCCATGGAACTTCTAAACAACCATGTACAAGATCTTACGGGGGACCTTGATATTTGGGTTCCTAATTTTGCAGGCTCGGGTTCCGAAGGTCCCTAGAATTGGTATTGGAACCTAAGTGTGTAGGACACATACATTTGTGTTTCCATTAGAGAACAAGATGCATGATGACGTTAGATACCTAGGTTGATGTCGACAAATTTGGAGGCAAAGCATTTCTAAAAATTTCTCAATGGATCGAGAGGAAAGAAAACACGAAATCCATCTACCTTAAGTCAGATAAATGAATATGGTGACTTTTCTATCAAGGTGGAGCAATTAGACCATGTGATTGCAAAAATTATTACTATGTTTCTCTAGAAAGATTAGGAGTACTGTAGTACTTGTGTAAAAGGGAAAAATGAGTTCCTCAGGGACCAAGATCTCCATATACAGAGAATAAGGATAAATATAATGATTTCATGCAACCATTGTATTGAATCATTGCTCAAATATAATAGTTGTCCCTTTAGGATTCCCCTTTGGGGTCATGGGAAGGGATTTTTTAAGAAAGAGATGAGTCACCAAGGGAGACACATAGCTTGATAGAGGCGCAACTTGTCCATAAAGTTTTAGGTTGATATTTTTCAATTTTAGAGAGAGAAAATATGTCAATTGATCTCAAGATTCTCTCTCCAATAATAGTGTAGTAGTCGGAAAGAGGATAATTGATTAGCAATGTTGTTCAATCGGAAGAATGGGTTTAGATAGCAAAATCAGTTATGGTTTTGCCCCTTTTTAGAGAGATGGTTAATTTTGTGTTATCGAGGCAGTGGACATAAGTTACTTGGGGTAATTTATGTGCAGTTTTTATACTTGCTTTATGTCTCATTTTTTATTATTATTGTACTTATATATTTCACATTTAACTAACTATGTGTACGACTTCGAATAAGATGTTGATATTTAAACTTTCAAATTCCGTGATTTCGTAAGGGCCGGTAGCTATTTCCGCTTTAAGTATCAACAAATCAATTGAGTCGGTCTACCCGGACACTTAGTATAATGCAACCAACATGCGCGTGACACTTTGTATGATGCAACCAAGAAGCGCCCGCATAATAACAAATTAATTGAAGCATCAATATCATTGGATTCCAAATGTGATGACGATTGGTATGCCTCCATAACGCGTTGTTAATCACTCAGTCAACACAAAGCTACTTTCATGTAGTGCTTATTTTATCGCTCAAGTCAAAACATTGATATGGAGTATGATAAATAACTATCATCATCATCATTGTCTTTTTCTAACTATTTGGGGTTGGTTTATAAACAAATAGCTATGAGCGACAAAAAAGAAAATAAGTTAAGACGAGATGACATAGAAATGCTAAAATATCATGCACCTGAGTAGGGGTGGCAACAGGTCGGATTGAGTTTGGGTCCGACTGGATCCGGACCCGAACCCAGACTCAACCCGATCCAAAAATTAAAATATATATGCATTTATTATTATTTAAATATTTCATATATTGAGAACCAAAAAATATTATCGGACCCAACCCGATCGTACCCAGACTTGGACCCGAGTAGTGCTCGGGTCTAAGTTTTGGACTCGAATATGATATGCAGGTCCCTTTACGATTACCCTTGGGTCCCGAGTCAGGTCGGGTCCGAGTCCATTGCCACCTTAGGGCCTGAGAGAGCCAGATAGGGATAACCATAGCTACTAGAATCATGTGCTACAGGAGAGCTGGCTATGCCGTGGTTCAATAATTTATTGGCAAACTCTGCCCCAGTGAACCACTCTAAGGGTCACTAGTCGCAAAAAAGAGAAGGACATTGTGTGTCGCCTACTCCCACAGGAGCCGATTGTGGACTTACCCTTTTGGAATAAATTACTATTGAGGTGGATTTGTTTTACTAAAAATTTTATTCTCTTTTCAGAAGAAAAAAATTATATAAGATGTTAATTTTATACTATAGAAGTGATGCGTATCTCAAAAAAAGTTCTTTCCAGTTGATCATCTCGACCTCACAATATATTAATGCAATTGATAATCTTGACCTCAAGATATATAGATGTACAAAAAAAAAAAACAAAGATTTAAATCTTGAAAATAGTGCATCTTGTAATATATTACACGAAGCATTGATTTTCAAGATCTTCAAGTGTTCATAGATAAGCTAGATCTACACTATTTTTAAAGCTTAAAATTTTCATTAGAAATGAAAATAGACCATCACATGCATTTTTAACACTAAAATAGTATCTTTCGACATCATTTGGAGGTGCACCTTACCTTTGATTGATCAAGGTACCAACCTTTACAAACCTCACCCTTTCCAGAATTAGCAAGTGAACATTTAAAAAAGGACTCGGTTAGCGTGCGGCTAGCCCGCATATTGTAGAAAGCAGACTTGGTATAATCTTTAACATGGAGATCATGAATATGGAATATATATATATATATATATATATATATATATATGTGTGAAAGCTAGAAAGAAAAACATTTAGATTGTCAGTTATAAATGTTTTTAGATGGACTACCTATTTGCATCCATCTTTAAGAGAGATACTTTATACCTCGCATAAATGCGGTCCAGCCCGTATGAAATAGTTGTTCTTTAAATAAATAAATAACTAAAAGAAAGAGTAAGAGAGACAAAGAGTGTCATTTCCTAGATATGACCTCTGAAAACAAAGGACCGGTGTCCAAAGTCGAGGTGTGATTTTATTTCGGGGAAGTTTAGGCCGTTATTTTTATTTTTTAGTTGCTAGATTGATTAACAAAATTTAAGATCGAGAAAATACTCGAGGTCAGGTTTTTGGCAGAGGGAGTAATGTACAGTTTGCTCCCGCAAGAACACGTAATCTTTTGTGCAAAGGACATCTGTAAGTGTTTACTCAGCAGCGCCGGAGAAGCCCCCGTTGCATCGAATCACTCCGATGTTATTGGCTCCTCCAAGTATCAGAAATTCAACTCTCATTATTCAACGGTGCCAAATTGAACCAAGTGGCCGCACCTATCTACATATAAATACCTCCATGCCCCTCCACAACTTACCTTCTCTAAGCCACAGGCCTTCTCTCTCTCTTCTTCTCTCTAAGCAATAGGCCTTCTCTCTCTCTCTCTTTAAGTCAAAGGTCTTTCTCTCTCTAACTCCCTTCTCTCTCTCTCTAAAATGGCCTCAAACCAGGGCAAGATAAGCGATGTAGAGGCATGCCCACCCTCCATTAACAAACCCACCAAAACCTTGATCACATCACAGATCATACTAAGGTCAGTGGCTGCTGTCTCTGCATTATCTGCGACACTTCTCATGTTAAGGAACAAGCAGTCCATCTCTCTCTTTGGCCTCCAAATTGTTGCTAAATATACCCAGTCATCTGCCTTTAGGTAACACTTACGAAACCTTCATCAAATTTAGCTTTCTTACTTCTAAATCCTTATATTATTTGGAAGTTCATTGAGTTTTTTTTTAAATTGTACGCAGGTTTTTTGTAGGGGCAAATGCTGTTGCTTCTGCATACGCCCTGGTTGCCTTAGGTTTATATTTGTTCATGAATTACTCTCAGAGTAAACGAAGAGGCCACTTCATTGTATTCTTATTCGACCTGGCAACATTAAAATTTACAAACTTCACCACCATCTCCACATATTTAAAATCAAAATCATGTACTTTGCTCTCTCTTAAGCAGTGTTCAAAAAATCGTAAGGGCCTAGGAAACCGCCTAAGGGCCGTGTCCGAGTAATAGGTAAACCCGCAGGTTCAACGGGCCTAATTGGGCAGGTCCAGATGATCCAAAAAATGTTTAAAAAATAAAATAAATGTAAAAATCCAAAAACAAATACGACAAGTATATTTAAAGCTTGATTAAATAAAGTGCATTCAAATGAAGTTCAAAAGCATTTAAAAAAATCGATTTTTAAAAATTGATATGTATCCAGAGATATTTTCAAAATTTTCCAAAAAAATGAAAAAATGTAGAATCATGGAAAAAATAATTTTTAATATTTTCTAAAATGATAAAAAATGTTTAAAAATACAATACAAAAATATCTTATTTTTTTAAAATTTTATATATATATATTTTTTAAACACTGCTCTTACACATTATTTCTCTCTCCCTCTCTCTCCCCTTACTTACACATGCACGTAGGCGTCTTGTTTTTTTCTGCCGTGTCCCTCTATTAATTAAAGAGTGATTTATGGATCCTAAAAGTTTTTTAAATATGAAATGCTCTATTTATATGTAAAAATTATAAAGGAGGTTGGCCAATCTGCTTTTTTTTTTTTTTCAAAATTGTCTTTAAATGATGACATCCTTGGATCTAATTTTAATTTTTTTTGTTTGGTTTTTTTTTTTAGCTTGGCACTGTCTTAAAGCTTAGGGCACTGCCTTACTAAAAAAAACTACCGCCCTACTAAAAAAAATTAAAATTAAAATTCGGATCGAAGATTCCATTGAGAGACAATTTTGGAAACAATAAAAAAAAGAGTTAACTGACGTTCTTTATAATTTCCATCTATAAATACAGCATTTCGTAATTTAGAAAAAGTTTTGCGTCCGTATAGAGCTTTTCCTTATCTGTCTCCCTCACACATGTTGCACCTTTTTTTTTCTTTTTTTTTTCTCTGGTTCTCTCTCTTTTAAACTAGTTTTGAAATGTATTTGCAGATGATGGTGTGTTTGGTGATGGCTGGTTCATCTGCTGCAACTGCCATTGCATACGTGGCCAAGAATGGAGAGAAGCACACTGGTTGGGTTCCGACATGGGATAATCTCCACACCTTTTGTAAACGCGCAGGCCTCTCCATGTTTGCTCCTTCGCCTCTTTCTTTGCCCTCTTTCTCCTCACTCTGCTCTCTGCCTTCGGACTAACCTACCAACTGTAACTGTAACTGTAACTTGCATTTCAATTCTTCATGGGAAGTTCATTCAATTCTCATAAGTATGTGTATTCGAAGTTGGTAATTTGTTTGCCCGGTCGAGTAAATGGCGCACAACTAGTTGAGTAATGAAAGGAAGAATGAAATTTGGTTACTCAAGTTCCAAGAACTTATAAATGGCAAATTTTGGGTAAAATTACTATGGGGTTAGTATCTATTAGGGACTAAATGAATTAAGTTGATTGATAATTTAATTAGGGATTGTGTTCGCACAATGAGGTTACAATCATTATTAGTTATTGAAAGTGAAATTTAACGTTTCAAAATGTGTCATAACATTCAAAAAATTTTATTTTAAACTTTGTATCCAATCAATGACAAATCTTCAAACTCTAGATTTAACATCTCACAATCAACCATGATTAATGACAACCGAGGGGCTTGTAGGAAAAGAAAGCACGCGCTTCTTTGTTTTGAATGCATTCTTAGCAACACTAGAACACAAGCTGGTTGAGGTCGAGGGTTTGGGGGTAGGGGCAGAGAAGGAAACAATATAAATTTTAGCACAAATAGAATACAATCTTGTCTTGGCATTTCAAAATCGGGTGGTTGTGAGCATGTTATTGACTATACTCAATGTTCAAAAAAGAATTTTTGAACTTTGTGATACACCGTAAGCCATCTAATTTTACATCTAACGGCTAGAAATAATTGTCACTTCGAAACATAAATGATCTTATAGTATTCAATCAAGTGGTCAAATAATGTGGGTTTCAGACAATATCTCAAGTAAAACTATATACTAGGGATTGGTCCGATCATTCTAGAATCGGACAGACCCAAAATAGGGCGATATGACTTGTGTAGGGTTGTTCCATGTATGACACATTTAACAACTTAACTTTAAGGTGATGCGATGTTTCAAATGTCGGACCAACCTTTAATAGATTTTCAAATTATGGCCCTACCAACCAAGAAAAAATATTTTAAAAAAATTGATCCAATATTTACAACATCAACTGAAAAAAATTGGGAAAAAAAAAGAAGAAAAAAGTAAGATCTCCTTGTGAAATGTAGGAAAAATTGTACGTAATAGCACATCAATTTTTGGGTAGAGACGTAAATTTCCCTAATAAATATTTCTGGAGTGCTCAAGAAAAATGTTGATGGGTTGAAATTTGAAGTAGTGAGGATCTCATTGGAGCCTTCTTGTGTTTTACACCCTGAAAATTTGGCAGTGGGTTCGACAGGCTTGAGGGTAAATTAAAATTTTGTCTTTCTTTGAAATTCGGATTCGAGAAAACGGTTCTCATTTGAGAAAACCCACCGAACTCTCTCTCTCTCTCTAACTTAAAGCACTTCAAATTTCAAATTCGTCGGAGCATAAAAGATAGAAAACTTAAGTCAAAGCTTCAAGTGCCTAAAAAGCGAGGGCATGAACTTTATTTAGAACGATGTGAATTATTAAAAAAGTAACTCATGTATCCAAATTAAATGGTCTCATTGTATACATTTTTTAATATAAAAGTAGGGTTGTACCTCAAATATACATGGTTAAATATCGTTTTAGCCCTACAAAACCGAGAAATTGTTCACATGGAGCTCATTAATTATGGATATATAAAAAATATTTTAATTTCTAAAAATAGTGTATCTTGTAACATAATATCATAATGTTTATTTTTAAGGATTTATAGATCAGCCAAATATGCATAACTTTGAAAGTTTAAAGTTTCATAATTAGAGAGAAAAATATATTTTTCGTCCTTCATAAGGATTTTTAGCATTGAAATTCATTTTTTGCAAGATTAAGAAATGTCCCGTTTTTCCATACGGCCGTTACCTTATATGAACCAATATCTACCCTTTTGAATATGGGTGTGGTTTTTATAAGGCTGAAGCCCTAAACAATCAAAGCAAGGTGTGTCTTCAAACAATGCCAAAATATGTTGTTTCGATACCATAAATCTTTATTATGGCCCGAAATTTATTTTCATCTCTAATTATAATATTTAAATATTAAAAATAGTGCGACTCATGCAGATCTATGAACATTTGAAAACCTTGAAACTTGACGGTCTAGATAATACATTACAAGATGCACTATTTCCAATACTTGAAATCTATTTTTTCTTATGTCCATACATCTTGAAGTCGAGATGATTGAATTGAAGGTTTTTCAACATCGAAACAACCTCTTCTAGTGAATTTTTGAGGTACGCCTTAATTTGTTTGTTTAGGGCTTCACCCTTATATAAACTTTTTCCTTTGAATATTATATAAAACATGTGGAATTGTTTTTGGAGAAGTAAATATACATGGTAAAATTGCATTGGTTTTAAAAAAGATGGAGTTTCTCCAAGACTTGACCTTATGAAAAACTTCTGGCATGGGAAATCTCTATGATGGTATTAAAAAATCAATTTCCACTATATACTATAAAATTTGTAGCTCAATAAATTATGCAGATCTTGCGGATATGTGAACACTTGAAAATGAATGGTCTAGATAATATGTTATAATATACATAATTTTTAGAGCTTAAAATCCTAATTTTGTTTCTACAACTATAATCGTCAAGGTAAACGATGTGAAGGTTTTTCGAAGCCAAAACTGCAATTTTCCATGACTTTTGAGATAAGCATTACATATTTTGATAGAGCTCCAGTCCATTAGAAAGTATTAGATTCCAAAAAATTATATTGTGAATGGTAAGGCCTCTAATAGCAATACATTTTTGTTGCAATTTATAAGCACGGGTTTATTCGGGCTGTTATTTACCAAATTCGACCCAAATTGAGATTGATATCCTCTGCTTAATGAACACTAAAAAAGAAATATCCCAAGCATAATGCCCTAAACAAGTGATTTAAAAAATGCTGGGTCGGGATGGAATCACTAGGTCCTAACCAAGATCATTCACCACGTTTCGGTTTTGCATATATATAGAAAAATGACCGAGTCTAAAAGGGAAACGACAGTTCTTCGCAGTAAAACGGTAATCTGGACCACCGATCTACCAGTTTTTAGCTTGTCTTTTTATTGGTTCACTATTTTTTCTGCATAGAAAAATGGCGATTCGGACCACCAATTCACCAATCCGAATTAATTTTTGGGGTGCCCAATCCGGGTCACCGATCATTTTTTTAAATCTCTGCCCTAAACTATTTCCAACATGCCCAGCGCATAACAGCAATTGGTCAATTAAGTCGGTATATATGGACAACAGTACGATGCAATCCTAAGCTTCTCCATATAGTAACAAAGTTTCATAAATTAATATCCTTCTTTTTCTATTTGGTAAATAAGTGGGAATTGCGCTCCTACATGTTTTTTTATTAATAAAAAAATAAATTATATTTCAAAATTATTATACAGCCCTCTCATGAAGAACACTTGCAACCCTCTCATGAAGAACACTTGCAACTCGTATATATATATATATATATATATATATATATATATTATTGTACGAACTATTATTAGTAGAACTGTAGACGTAACCG